TAAACACAAATTTTAATTATTTTTTATTTTACATATATTACATCATAAAAAATACTATTGTATTATTCTAAACAATTTTTTTTAAAAAAAATAATCTTCTATCCAAACACACTAGTGTTTATAAAATCTTTAAGATCGACAACAAGAACTCACGCATTGCCACAAAAACAAACTAAGGCCAAAGCCGTGTGCTTAGCACTTGTTCCAATGCATGTGCGTACTAAAATGTTGAATCATTTCTTTTAACTAAACAAAGACGAGTTCTTCCCACTTCTAAGAAGATGCCAAACGTGGTTGTCTCAAGCATGCACTTTCAATATGCGAACCAGCTATGCTATTTGAGAGTGGCATCATATTTTCCACTTCCACATTTTGACTTTGAAATGATCTGTCCTCTTATAATTCATTTTCAATTATTTCAGTCTATAAATTTTTAAATTTATTAATGCAACTTGATCAACAGCGTCCACAAAGCTCAATGCATGGTCAAGTGCTAATTTTTTTTTGAAAATGAGTTGGTTCGACCTTTTGTTCATCCATCTTGGTAGGGTGACAAAAGTGTATAATCATCGTTTATCTTGTCTAAATCAGTTAATTTGTCTAACCAATGCTCAAGCACATTTTTGCCGTCTTGTCAATGAAACTGTACATATGTGGAGGGAAAAAAGCTTCTTTAATTAATAATTAACGACAAGTCAAATTTAGATTAAAACAAATGTAAGATCCAAGAACTGTCAAATTGTGGGAATATCAAGATACGGTAGTTGCTATTTCCTTAAAAAGCATTTGTCTTAGAAGTGGTGAAGCTGCAAAAACATGGAACCCTTTTGGTACGCGCTCCATTTCCATGGGATCAGGCGGTTAGTGGAAGAGAGGGTTGTGCATGCTTAATTCTATGGACAAAGCGATTGGTAACTCGATCAATTCGACCTTTTTTATATTCTTTTAAATTCATTGACGTGGATCAATTTACTTTTCCATTATAAGATACATAGGATCGAGCAATTTTTATCAGTTCATTATCGATTAGTACTTGAAGCAGTGGTGGGGAATACATATCTGACTTGTTGGAGCACAAGCTGGCCACTGGTTTTGTTGTTAATATGGTAATTCATGGTGATTAAAGCTTCAATTATTGGCTATAGTTGCACATCATCTCCAAAGTTTATAAAAAATCAAGCTAATTCGAGTATCAGAAGCCATTATCATGTTCCTAAGATAAACATGTTATTTTTCCAAAGCACAAGCAAATGGAGAGGGTATATTTTCCACTTGGTTAGTGTAACTCTAGAAACAAGCAGAATCATGTCTGTTTATTGGATGAAAGATCCACATTTGCCATTAGTGATTGACTAAGATTAGAATATTGGGACACGTTCTAGAAAAGTGTATTTGACATGCAAAGGGATAAAGAGTTTTTTTTTTTTTTTTTAACTTCAACATAAACTTTCCCACTAAATCCTAAGAGTCATAAAGAAAGTTCCATGCACCACAATCAAGACCTTTCCCCATACAAAGTGAAGCAATGTTGTGAAGGCACATCATCCACAATGGATTGACTTTTGTGTGCAGTTTTTAATCTTTAAATTTCTATTTGACAAATTGTAATCCCTACTTATACTTTTAAATTTTTGAGATACAGAAACTTGTGAATGACTGATGTATCAATATATTTTACGACAATTATTGTGTTATTTGTGCACTTTAATCTACAAATATGAAGCTTTAGTGCACAATTTGGTATATTATATCAATGTGCATGGCCACTAATGGGCAAATTAGTAACATGTCAACCTGAGAACAAGTGCCATGCAATTAACTAGGATTATCATATTGATTTTATTGATTAGGTGGAAGAAACAGTAGATCAACTGTTTTCCACTTTTTACCATCGTCTGAGTTATTTGTTCCAATCATTTGCACTATAAATACATCCCATTTTGCATAGTTAGAAAACAGTCACTTCCAAACATATTTCACATCTTATACAAATTCTATTTCCTTCTATTGCTTGAACATATTAGTCTTTTAGGTCGATGCTGTCGCTGCAATCAACTTCAAAACCAGGTCATATGGCTACTCTAAATTTGTTTCTTGTGATAATGCTATTGAATATATTAGTCAGTGGATGGAGAATTGGAGTAGATGGCCTGAGCATGGGCTACTACTTAATGACTTGTCCATTTGCCGATGGAATTGTGAGAAATACTGTCAATAGGGCTCTGCAATCTGATCCCACTCTTGCTGCAGCCCTTATTAGAATGCATTTCCATGACTGTTTCATTCAGGTTCTCTCTCTTTCTCTCTCTCTCATGCTCATACTACACACAATAGATGCGCATGCTAATGGGACCTGTTTAAGAGCATGGTTGCTTGTGTACTTGTATGACCATTGACAATCTGTCTTGGTATATTTACCATAATGCAGGGATGTGATGCATCAATACTGATTGATTCTACAAAAGATAACACTGCAGAAAAAGACTCCCCAGCCAATTTGAGCTTGAGGGGTTACGAGATAATCGATGATGTGAAAGAACAACTGGAAGAGCAGTGTCCTGGTGCTGTCTCGTGCGCTGATATCGTTGCAATGGCTGCCACCACAGCAGTTTTCTTCGTAAGATTACTCCTCATTTCCTTGTAACAAATGCTTTTTCACTCCTTAGCAAGTCTTGGTGTAATAAAGGTGATCCATCTAACAGCTATAATACTTCGAGAACACGATAAGGATAAATATATTTTTCCTACAGTTTACACTTGAAAATCCTTCCTTTAAGTCTAAATAATATTATAACTTAAAATTCAACCTGAAATATTATTTATTTTAACATATAGTTATTCTGTACGTCCCCTCTACTATTACCAGAGTAGTACTTTACTTCCTTGAACTTTCTTTATAGGAATTTAAAACCACTTTTTGATATCTCCTGTTATAATAACACACGTACTGTATTGCCAGTATGATATACTTTAAAATTTTCCTGAAAATAAAATAAAGAAGAAAATTTACTTCATTCCAGTCCCTATATCATAAAAAACAATCAGTATCTATTAATAAATAGTACCTAGGCCTCCAGTAGACAGCCACCTCATGTGTTTTCCTGGGTAGTTTTAGCCATAAACTATATGACACTTTTGCATTGACTACCAATGTAGGATTGCTTCTGTAATTTTGACCTAATTTATTAGGAAACATCACCAATGACAGGATAAAAGCAATGATTAGGTCCAATCAGTTAAGAAAACCTTGAAAGTAACGGATAAATGGTAGCCAGATGATCTAGGTGGAGGTGTGGGACGAAAATTATTACAAGTGATACAGTTCCAACAAGTGGAATTAGTCCTTTATTCTTCAAGTATTTGTGCTATTGCAGGCTGGAGGACCCTATTATGATATACCTAAAGGAAGAAAGGATGGAAGGAGATCAAGAATAGAAGACACAATCAATCTGCCTGCACCCAGTTTGAATGCTTCGGAGCTTATCAGGATGTTTGGTCAGCATGGTTTCACTGCCCAAGAAATGGTGGCTTTATCTGGTATTTCTTCAAACACAATACACTCGTTACCAAGAGAGTATTGATCAACTCATATTAGTTTTTGATGTCTTTGTTTATGCAGCATTAACTGATCATTAGGTTGCTTTTTATTAATAAAAGTTTTTTCCTTCCAAAAATCAAAGAGGACATGAGGCATAGCCTGCCAATTTGAGTGGTTTGATTTGCCTTTCATTTTTGAATTGCTTCATTAAGTAAAAACTTAGAGGTTTTTATATATTACTTTTTACAAGGCTTATCATCTTTACTTTAATATTCAAGAAAAAAAAAAGATGAAAGTGAATGAAAACCTCAACGAAAAACAGTATAATCTAGAAGTCTAATATCTTAGTTGTAGCTACACTTAAAAAAATTGTTCATTAGTAACAAAAAGGGGCAATATAAGCACCATGGGGGATAAGGCCGTGTATCCTCACATATTTGAATGCTTTTTAACTTTTTTGGTTTTCTACAGGGGCTCACACTCTAGGAGTTGCAAGATGCTCATCATTCAAGCGGAGATTGAGTAACTTCGACTCCACTCATGATGTGGATCCAACCATAGACACGCAATTTCTGAAAACATTATCCAAAACATGTAGTGCAGGTGACAATGCTGAGCAGCCCTTCGATACAACAAGGAACATTTTTGACAACGATTACTACAATCAATTGCAAAGGAAAGCTGGGGTGCTTTTCTCCGATCAAACTCTCTTTGTTAGTCCAAGAACTAAACCAATTGTCGATGGTTACTCTTTCAACCAAGCTATGTTTTTCATGGATTTCCAGCAAGCCATGCTGAAAATGAGCTTGCTTGATGTAAAAGAAGGCCCCAAAGGAGAGGTGAGGGCAAATTGTCGCAAAATCAACTGATTCAGATCCACCGACCGAGCTATTTGTACAAATACATATCAGATTTTAAACATGTTACGGGTTTTGACTGATGTGTTGATTAAGCTGCTTGTATGACACTGTGTGACTTGTTTTAGAACTAGTTTAAATTCCTACGTTTTCATCTACCATTTCATTTTGTTTCATACGATGTTACTACATTAGCGTCAAATGCAGGGGAAACACCGTGCCCTTCGTTAGTCAAAAGAAGGGGTAGTTGCCCTTACACAGGCCATATTTAAGATCTCCATTTACAGCCATTCTTTATGTTGTTCATTGTTTCCACCGGAGAAAGAATAAATGGCCCAAAATGGGCCAACAATGTTGAAATTCAAATTATGCGGATTAGATAACGGCACATAATTCTGACACAACAAAAATACAAGGATCCACCTAAATATCACCCAAATATCTTTATTGTAAAAGTGGGCATTCAGTTTGCGGTGAATTACAATATATTGAAGAGTTATTACATCGTCCAGGAACAGTGCCCCCCTCCCAAGACAAATTTACCAGATGCGCTAGTTACTAAAGAGGTCTAGGATCAGAATATCACACGAAGTAAGAAAAGAACATGAGCTCAATGATGTGAATCCCTTTTCAACAGTAACCATTTTACATCATTCCAAAGTTCAAACAACTTCATAGACAAGCATTAGGGATTTCAAATTTCATCCAATATTCACATTGAATAGTATTCAATACCAACTTCAATATACTCAAACCAGAGACTCAAGATTAAATCTACTCCAAGTTTCATGATTCATCCAATTCGTTTGGCAACTATTTATACAATAAGAACAGCAAACAAACCGCCTGAAAAATGTTGGCAAAGCAATAAGTCGAAATTTAGTAGCCATAAGAGGTTCTTCTCATCATCCTCATGAATTCCTCAGCACTAACTTCCCCATCATCTGAATAATTAAGAATAACCTTAGTTAAATAAGTTAATAAATGGCATCATTTACAGAAAAACAAAAAAACAAATTTGTCCTATCATGATTTCAATGAATTCAAGATGCTTCTTCTGAGCTGATAATAGATGGGAAAATCTTAATGATCATAAGAACTGTCTACGTGAATATACTCGATGGGGAGATTATATGAGAAAGAGAAATATATATATATAGCGAGTCCGCAATTGACATACTTAACTATTTACTGAAATAGGGCCGAGTATTTCCTTATATAGTATGCCACATCAAAGGAAACTTCACAAAGTCAATGGTATTTCTGAACATGTTCCTAGATAACTAGCTCAGATACAAAGCACGGAAAGGTGTCTATAACATGACCTAAAGAAAGCCAGCAACAAAGCACAAAAGGGTGTCCCCTCAAAAAAAATGTTTTGGAAACAGCAGGAGAGAGAATTGTACTAGAACAGGCTCAAATTTGTTAAGCAGCTTTCTTTTATTCTGTACAAATTAGATTAGTTTAAACCATGGTTCGACGTCGTGGAATCAGTAACCGTCATGTAGCATTCCGTTCTATATGGAACATGGTGCATCAGACTAAAATCTGGTGATACGCATTTTTTACTATACAGAGTGCTTTAAAATTGTGAAAATTCATGAAAGATAGAAAATTCTATGAGCAATTCAATGAACAAGTGAAACGAGTTAAAATATCTCTGTTTATCATGTTAAATATGTCTAAATTTAAGCTTTTGTTGCTATGCGACAATTTTATGTTCCAATTAAAAAGTAATTTTTCATATCTAATTAGTGAAAATGGTTTCTTTAAGGGATATCAAGTCCCTAAAATGATTTGGTCAACTTCTTTATTAGATTATTCTATTTTCAAAAGATGAATTAGTAGTGTAACTTATAAAACGTTAAACTAACATGGTGGAACATATCAGTGGTATATTGGTAAATAGAGTGAAATCTTGGCCTCATAGTCTAAATTCTTGACCCATCAGATAGATTACATCGTCTTCCTTAGTGAAAATAGGCTCTGTCCTCTGCTGCGCAGAAGTTTAGCAGGAAAACTTCCAATCTTACGGATCTGAATGAAAAAATAGGATCTGAAGGTTGCTTTGTGAATTTGGAAGATAGAACTTCCAATCTTACAGTCAAAAGATTAATTTCTATCTTCCAAATTCACAAAGCAACCTTCAGACCTTAACGAGGAGAAAAACATGATCAAAAGCTTCAAAACCTTTGATATACTTATAAACCTGTGATATATGGTGAACCATGGTTTAAACAAAAATCTCAAAACAGGGGTAAGTACAAGGCAGTACATCCACAACCTAAAATTTCCAAAGTCTCTAAAGTTTTTTTTTTTTTTTTTTTTTGAGAAGCAGATATAGCTCAATTTATTTTACTATTCATGGGGGAAAATGTCCTCTTGAATTGAGCATAGGATAGAGTTGCAAGTGCTAATAGGAATGTGTAACACAACCAAATCATAGCAGAAGAAATTCAGCGTGATGTATGCAATGCAACCAAACCAAAAGCAGCTATACAACAGAAACTTACGGTCACGATCTGCTTCCTCAACCATCTCCTGAATATCTCTCTCAGTAAAATTTTCACCCAATTCCCTTGAGATACGCTGAATGTCTGCGATGGATATTTTCCCCTACATTGCATAACACCAGAGCCACTTAAAACAAGAAGCAGCATTCAAGCACACAGGACAAGTAAAATACAAGGCAAAATAGTAAAGGATACATTTTTATCTTGGTCAATAATATGAAATGCTTTCATGAGTTCCTCTTTAGAGTCCCTTTCGCCAATCTTGGCAGTCATCATATGCACAAATTCATCAAAGTCTATCGCACCACTGCCATCCTTGTCCACTTCTGCAATCATTCGATTAATTTCCTGGATAAAAAAAAGAAGTCAAGACTGAAATTCTTAACAGTGGATTCATCAAAAGTACCAAGACAGTTCAATCTTATAGAGTAGTAGATGACAAACCCAAAAGGTGCAAAGCTATACTTATGAAGACATCTAGTGAAAGACAAATCAATCTGGAGCAAACTCTTAAGCATTCGTATTAATGTCAATGTAGCTGCAGCCAAATTTCCAGAGCAACATAGAACGGAGAAAACTTTCCATAAGATGAAGTTCCCCACATACTTTTTCTACTATTTCATCCTTGTCACAGGTACAAGATTTTAAAAGACACTAAAAATAATAGCAGTACAATTTTTAAAGAACAGAATTTTTTCGAGTACTTCCACAGTCCAGCTGAATCCAATGAGCATAAAAAGCAGGAATCTCCTCATTCAGATTTCTCAAGACATCTAGCACATTAAGTTCTAACTTACATGAATCTTCCTTCCTCTAAGGTCACAACAATTTACAATCCACCATTATCATTTCCAAAACGGAGAAAATTTTCAGATCCATTCGCATTCCCATGCATCATCCAACCTACTTTTTCCCTTTCATTTCAGGATCCTCCTCTACATACTTCAGAACACTAGGTAAACAAAAAGGACAGCCCAAGCTACCTGACCTAATCCTTTTGGTCCAAGCCCATTCCAAATGGTATGCAAGTTTGGCACTACTAGTACAATAGATTAGTATTCTTCAAACTATTGCTAATTAATGCAAATAAAAAAATCATGGATGACTGAAGGTAATTTCAGTGAAAAGTGAGCCAAAAACAACATAAACAACCTCCTCTTGTAGTATACAGGAATAGCTTTTCTAAGAAAGATGCCATTGTATACAGTTGGTTTTGCGAGAAATCCAGTTTGTACCTAGAGATTTTTTTTTTAGGGGGGGGGGGAGTCAAAAAGTAGTTCTGTTAAAGACTTCTTTATTAATGTGTTACCCCTAGTAAAATTTCTCTGTGATTCTCATGCCTCATATTTTATACTTCCTGCCATCACATTTTCCAAATTGGATAATAATTTATATGAATGGAGAAATTACAAGAGGAATAACCACAAAAAGCTCAAGTAAACATTTCAGATTAAGAGTGTTGAATGGTAGATTTTACTGTGTAAATTTTTCAAAATATTGCTATTGATATAAATCAAAATAATGCTACACCTGGACCCTGCAAAAAGTCACAAACTGTTTTTACCTCTTTGATATTTACTTCTATTTATGAACTAATACATCCATGTTAAATAGACTGGTCATCCCCTGATAGCAACTCGAATCTCCAAGCTCCCACTGCCGGATCAGTTCCTTTCTTGTTTTTTGTGCTTTTCGTATGAGCTTCTGGAGATGTCCAGTGCAATGTCCTGGGCCTGTCCCGGGCCAGTCTTCATCATTTCAGATTTTCATATTTTAAGCAATTTCGTAATTTTAGGTTACTTTCTATTACCAAGTGTCCGTTTGGGTCATGTAAACCTATTGAGGCATATCTAGCATGTTTAATACAATAAGTTGTGTCTCGTTAGTTTCCAAGTCACATTACGAAGCTTATGTTGTCCAAGTATGGTTAGGTTAAGCCTTGTAAGCTTATAAAAAGGCATCAATTTCGTTCAATAAAAGGTAGTAGACAAATTTTCAGAAACACCTGTGTAATTGAGAGAGAGTTTTCTCTTAACTTCTTTAAAGCGACCTTGAACACTTTAGAGTTGGTCTCGAGAGTTCAATCTGGCTTATCAATCAAAGATCGCGTTTGGTTGTGGCACTATTCTACCTTTCTAATCAATCTCGAGTGGTCCTTGATTGGTTTAGAATCCATCCCAAATTGTCCATAACCTGATTAAGATAAATCCTTCTGCTATCTTATTGGATCATTTCTTCAAGAGCAGGAGCTCGGAGAATCGCTCACATCATCCACGGTGATTTATTATTAAAAAAAAAGACCACCACCACCATCAGGTCTCTTTGACAAAGCTAGCAAAAATTAGCAGAGTTCATCTGAATCCTACTTTTAACTTATTCAACCTCATCAAACTTATAGAATGCTACTAGCATCAGCAATTAACCCTTGCCATAAGTCCGTCCGCATCCTGGCTGTCCCTATGTGCTTGAATGAGGAGTAGATGGAGGTATTTGTGTGTTGCATGTGATAAAAACACAAAGAGAAAGCGAGAGAGTGGGAGAACGTAAACTTTACAATAACCGCACAGTTGTTTTGCTGAGGCATCACTACAAAAGGACAGAGATCAAGATAACCCACCCACTTTCTTGCCCCAGCAATTTAACAATCTATCCAAAGAAATTATGACCTGCCCTTGCATCAAGGCCAGAACTTCAGTTGTATTGACATGTAATTGAATACATTTACCCTCAGGTAAAACAACTATGTAAACCCAAACACAATCTTGGTAAAATGTAAGTCAAATGTCTCAAGTCAATAGACCAGAATAGACCTACTCCATCGTACACATAACCAAGCATTCTTTGTTATGATACTGTAGGAAATAGCTCACACACAATCTTTTTCAAAATACTAATTACCTGGACAACCGATAGACCTGAATTACCTGATAAAACTTACTCTGGGAGATGGGGAATGATATCATAGTTAAAGAAAAATATAATAAACTGCAGAAGATTCTTATTCATCTTCCTTCGTCTTTTGAACTTTGCAAATGCAAAAGACTTTCCCAAATGGATAAGGATTCGTAAGCTGGATAAAATTGGAATATTTTCTACAGATATGATGTATCTGCTTTTTTTTTGGGTAGGTAAATAAGATGTATCGTTGAATATTAGTTTCTTCATAACTGAAAAATAATGAGGAATTATTTGCGAATTTCTTCAAGTTAATGTCCTTTAAGCAAGGGATTTTTACCAACTATATTAAAATGGCCAAAAGTTGATTGTTAGATGCTCATATTCCAATGTACAAAATTGTTCCATCATTCTCGGTGTCGTTATTGTGGAAGGGATCGGATCCTACCTTACCTTGTGCACTATCCCTTTGGATGGTACAAGAAATATAGACGTGCAAGTCTCATTGGATTATATATCCGAAACACAGGGCGGTTTATTCCTGAAGTGGGATCCCCTAAATGGCATTCCCTCTAGGGTTTATGCGTGATGCCGTTTTATCAAAGCGAGTAAATATGCAATACACAAATGAAACGTGACCTAAAGGAACCCTTTATATGCTAGGGTAGGCCTAGAATGATGTTCAATTTTCAATCTATAAATGCAATTCATTAAACATGCAATAACCTATCTAAGAGGGTAGGTTCTAAAAGTGGATCATGCCAGATCTCTTATTTCCTTCGTTTGTTAATACAAAAAGACAAGAAAACAAGAAAATGTTAGTTCAACAAATAATCACATAACACGTTGAGGCAATTAATTGATATAAAAAATAATAAAGAAAAATAAGGAAAGAAGGTGGAATCCCTCCCCTCGTGCCTAGTGTTCTTAATTCAGGATAAAGGCGACTCTACCCTAGGCAATTCTAATATGGATGCATGAGGTTTGGCTCATTAATGCATCTAGACTCGATAAGTCTCAAGGTTCCCAAGCCTTCAGACCTAAAGGCGAAGGGTCATCACTCCCAGGGCCTTCGGTCGGTGGGTCGAGTGATCCCTTAGGCATTGCTATGGGTGCAGTGCACACCATCCGCCTACCTAAGGAAATCAATCCTAATCCTACAGGGAGATGTGGGATAGCGCCCACGATAAAGAAAAAAGGGATAAATAAAACTATGCATACACGTATGAAGTGCTTTTCTTTTGAGGGGAGGGATTATACCATCAGATGCGGTCGAAGGTTCTAGGGTAACTACCCCCCATCCCAAAATGCAATCGCGAAAGAAATAAAAGTAAACAAATAAATGAACCATCCATTCATCACATACATAGTGTGCGAAGAGTGATTATGCGCGTGGTAGATGCAAAAACCCTAAAAAGAGAAAAAAAGAAAATGGAAAAGAAGAATGCAACCTAATACTCCAAATGTGATATATAAGAAGGTTAAAAGAAGAAAAGGTTAACTAAATCGAATGCTCGGACCCTCTAAGTCCCCAGTGGAGTCGCCAGCTGTCGCGCCCCATTTTTTAAAAAAAATAAAAATAAATAACGAGTTTAGAAAAATGGAATTTTAATTCAATTTTTGATTGAAAAAATGATTTTTGATTTAAAAAGAAAATGGGCCTAAATGGGACTTGTAATGCGACGATTTGGACCCAAATTATAGTTTAAAAAGAGTTTTTAAAATAAAAATCGGAGTCGCCACTTGGTATAGAGTTAAGGTGTACCAAGTCACCTAAAAATGAATTTTTCAAAGAAGAAAGTAGAAGAACCCTTTTTAAACGACTCCAAGTCTACGAAAATCAGAGAAAAAGATTCGGGAGTCACATTTGAAGAAAGGGAAGGCAAGGATAAAAATCCAAGGCACCCTTTCAACCTAACCAAGGCTAGTTGCGTGATTTAGTCAAAGATTTTCTTAATTTAACCTAAAAATTTATCACATTTGGATGTACTATATGAATGCAAACCCTAGACCTAGGAGGGTTTCGGGGGGTCGAAATTTCTCTTCAAAGCTCAATTGGTGTCAATCACATTAATTGTGATGCCTAATAAAGACTCTTCGAAGAAGTCACGAATAATGCAAGTCATGAGACTCGAAAGGAAGAAAAAGTAAAGAAAATAATAATATACAAATGTGTATGTCCTAAAGGAATGCATCATAATGGGTGCAGGGACTTACACTCGTGACTTTCAATGTTCCCTTTAATAGAGGGAATACGAGCGCTAAGATTAGAAAAGCCAAACTCGTCCATATCTCATATCCAATGGGTAATTTCCCTAGTCTAATCATGCAAATGTACTAGCCTAGTTCTAATTCTTAAATGGGAATGCAAGTCTAATGTCATGTTTTCATACAAAGGAGCAAGGAATATATATAAGGGGAAATACGAGATAAGGGCTATACATATAAGGAAAGTGTCATGCAACATGGTAAAGG